ATTGTGAAATGCATATGTATATTTATGGATATGTTTGTGAATTGATTTCAAGAAATATGTTGGTATATATTAAAATAACCAACTGTTATTGAGATTTTTAATCTCACATGTTACTTCTTATCATTTTTAGGTGAGCAGTCAAGTAGAGCTACAAGGAAGGCATCGAAGAAGTGAGCTTAGGCTCCCTTCTCTCGGCTTGGCACATGATTTTTTATTTATTTTGTAATTATACTTGCCATAACCTAGGGACCCTTATAAATTTTATTTTAGATAATTGTTATAGGTTATTTGATTATAACTACTCAATCTTTTTGTTTGAGCTGGATAACTTTTAAAAACGTCAATATGGACCATGATTTTCTATTAGGCCAAGCTCATTTATTTTGGATTGTACATATTAATGGTATAAGAAAAATGTGTGTTTAACAGAGTTGATTATATCTATAAATTATTGTTGAACCCTGAACTTGCTGCAAATTATTTATTAGGCCCCATCTGCTTTAAGTCCAGTGATAATTGTTAATCTTGATGTCGCTTTATTTGGATAGGTACATTTTTAAGAAAAATGTTTATTTATAAAAATAAAGGGGGGAGGTTTTCTTTTGTAAAAAATTTTTTTTGACAAAAATTAGGTCTATTACATTACTTATATTAAATATACATATTTTCATGATATATTTTATCTCACAGACATTTATTCTTACTTTGGGTGGAAGGAAAAATAGGAAAAAAAATAGTGGGGGAGGAAAATTAGAAAGAGAAACCACCGGAAGTGATAAAAAAAAAGAATGGCATTTTTTTCTCATAGTTTTTTCTTCTTAATTTTCTCCCAACCCAAACCAAGGTTCAAAACTTGTATTAAAAAATTAATAATATAATTTTTAAATGAAAAAGTTTTTCTCTTCATCTTATAAATAGGAACGGAGGTTGTAATCTTTTTGTGGTAAAAAAAAAAATCCATTTGAGGGAAAGTCGGTTGGAGGAAGAGCAGGGAAGAAAAAAGGATTTGGGCCAACAAACTTCAGTGGCCCATAAATGTATAATGGCTGACATTTTACTTGAAGTCTATTTTACTTCAACAGTCTATATTTTTATTGTTTTTTTATTTGACATATAAGGAATTAATGGTTTTTCGAATCAACTTTTACTTAAAATAAAATTATTAATAAGTAATTAGTGCTGATAAAAAATAAACTACTTAAACTAAATCTAAACAATATGAGATGTGCAAGCTTAACCTTAGATCGTTACGGCTATTAGTTCAGCTTTTATCCCTATTTCCTCAAACTATCAATATGCTTCCAAGTATTTTTGTATTTAGTTTTTATCTTTAAATTTTTCTAACTAATTTTTAACTTTAAATATTGAATATATGACGGAATATTAATAAAAAATAATTATGAATTAAATTTCAAATTACAAAAATTTAATTGAAATTTAACAATTATAAAGATTAAAAAAATTCTCCACATGTAGAAATGTCTTTTGGAGAAAAACTTGAAGATGATAAGAATTCAATATTATCTAGCTTTTTTAAGGTTAGTTTAGGTAGAGTTGGTAATATGGGTCAACACGCAACCTGACTTACAATGGGTTGCGGGCTTAATGAGACAGGTTGATATAACCTACATCTTATGCGGGTTTTATTTCTACCAACCCACCAACTAGCAGTGGCTTGATGGGTTAGCTCCCCAATAAAAAAAAACTTATATACATTTTTTTAAATTTTAAAAATTATAAATTTCCTTCTCTTCATTGTTCTTTTTAGTAGTAAAAAATCATATTTTCTTCCTAAAAAATAATTATTCAAATAACAATAAAACCCCTTCTAAAAAAATACAAATTAAAAATACATTAATATAGTCCAAAATAAATAAATATCAATCACAAACAAACATAGGAGTATTAAAAAGTTTAATTATAATCCAAAACTTGAAAATTTCTTCTAAGTCATGATGTTAGAAGCTTTATTAGAAGTCGCAATAACATTAATTTTAGTAGATTTCTCCAACATTTCATTTGCCACAAACAAAAAAATAAAATATAATAAAATATAAAATATAATTAACATGTAGAAGTCTAGAAAGCAAATGAAAAAAATATAGCTATTACGGTACAAATATTTTGATGTCTTTCCTTTTATTTTTATTGACATGACTAAATTGCTTTCTCTTATTTATTGTGTGGAATAAAATGTTCAACTTAGCATATTAATTTTGTTTATATTATATGTTGATATTGATTTCGGCAACGAAAATTTGTTCTTCATTTCTTTGTTATCTAAATGAAGGCTTTCTACCCTCTGATGAAGGTTAATTAGTTTAGTTGTTAAGGATATGTTATAATACATTGAGTCCGGTTTTGATTTTGGATGGTCTAGCTTAACAAATTTTATTTTTTTATTTTATAATTATTAAAATAAAATTATAAAAAAGTAATAAATATATTTTGTTATCAATTTGGATAATATAGATTTAATCTTACGGCTTAATTCAATATTTAAAGTTTTTATAATTTTTATAAATTAACTATTTAAAATTGCTCTAGATGGTTCAGTGGTAAAATTTTGACGAGTTTGAGAATTTAAAATGATTCTACTATTTTTATCTTTTTTAAATAAGCGAGCTAACTCGTGAAGTTGTGGGTTAGTCTTCTGTAAGTTCAAACAATACAGGGTGAGCCAAAATCTCTTACATAAAATTGAACTCATTTTTTATGGGGTGGCGGGTTGAGAACCCATATTACTAGCTGTAAGCCTAGAGCTTGTGCAAATTCTAATCTTTTGACAAGAGAGCCTATGCTTTCCTCTGTCAAAAGAGCGAGCAACTTCTTTGAGGCTTGTGCTGATTTTCTAAATATGCTCATTGTTAGGGACAACTTTTTTGCATCTTTGATCATTCACCAATCCTCCAACAAGGTTTGGTAGATGATCAGAAATCATCCCCTCTACTAAACTCTATGTATTAGTAGATTTTGCTATAGGAAGCTTAGTATTATTTACAAAAAAAGTAATATTTCCTCAAAAATATGTGAACTAGCTTTGGAATTACAAATAAAGAGATAAAAGTTAAAATATTTTTTTTTTACTGATAGACCTTGAATGATTTAAATTATTAAATTAGTAAGAATACAATATAATTTTTTAAAATATAAAGTAAATAATACTATGATAGATATAAAGAACTAATAAAATAAACAATATAAAGTCCTAAAACTAAAGGGTTATAATCCATAAATATACTGAGTGATTAGTGCAAGCTTATAAAATTTAATTTTTGAGAAAATCAAACATAAAGTCCTAAAATTAAATTTAATTAATTAAAACTAAAATATTATGTTCTTTAAGATTTAAAGGGAATAAAAAGTTAAACATTAATTTTATAGACTTCATTATGATTCAAATGCTTAACTTAGTCAGGAAACAAAAAATTGTTTTTTTAATGGGGAAAAAGCAGTTTTTGGTCCTCATAACATAGTGCCTCCGTGAAATGTGATAATGATATTATATGAGGGAGGGCATGTGTGGCTATCAAAAATTAAGTAGCAAGTTGGCACCTTTATTTTGGAAATTATAAACAGCTGGTCCCTATTTCGATGGCACATGCACAATTGACAAAAATGGAGGGCCCTTTTCAAAATTGGCAGCTCATACAGGGTGGTCCGATGCTATATTTAGTATAATAAATTGATAAAATACGTAGTTCCTATGAGAACGAGCTCCCTTCAATCAGATTCTCAATCCTGGAATGAAGCCCCACCCTTTTTGCCTTGCTATTTTGTTTGATGACAGGCGTACCTGTAATTTGAACTCTAGTAGTAGCTAGGTCGTTTCAAGTCTTGCTACGTGCTTTTCCCATGCAAAAAAAAAAAAGAAAGAAAAAAAAAAGAAGATAAAGTCCCTCTATTATTGAAAAATGAATGGGAGCACGACAATTAACGATCTATTAAGAATATTAATTTCAATTACGAAATATAAAATTTTAATATTTTAATTAAAGATTGTGGTCTTTAATTATAATAAAAAATATAGTTTGTGAGGTAAAATTCATTATTATCACTTGAAAATTCACTAACTTAATTTAAGAAAATTTATAATGTATATTGTAAAAATATGAAACCCCACTTGAAAATAAAACGTCACTTGATAATTCACTAACTTGACTTGAAAAAAATTTCTAACATATATTATAAAAATATGAAACTCCACTTGGGAATCGATTGTTTAATAAAAAACACTAATTTGAAGAAGTCACTTTTTATTAATGATTTTCAAGTGAGGTTTCATTTTTTCACAATATTTTAAAAATTTTTTCAAGTCTAGTTAGTGAATTTTCAAGTAACGTTTTTTGTTAAATATTTTATTTTCAAGTGGGGTTTCATGTTTTCACAATATACGTTAGTAATTTTCTTAAGTTAGGTTAGTAAATTTTCAAGTCGCGTTAGTAAATTCTACTTCACAAATTATATTTTTTATCACAATTAAGGACCATGATCCTTAATTGAAATTTTAAAATTTTACGATTCGTAATTGAGATTAATGTTTTTAGCAGGTCCTTAATTGTCATTTTTTCAAAATAAATCAAGTGCAAATACAAGGGACCCAAACAAGGAAATGTCTAAAGCTTTTGGCCACGTCTGGTTGCTAAAAAAAATGGATTGAAAAAATAAAACTAAAAATAAAAAGATTAAAAGGAATAGTAAAGCACATGAGATAATTTAATTGATAAGATTAAAAATTATTATTTATAAAATTTTTAAAGGGTGTGATGGTTACAATATTTATAATATATAATAATAAACTTTATTATGTTTATTATAAAAAGAAAGGATAATTTAATTTCTTTTTATGTTGATTTTTTTAATTTATTTCATCGTTCGCTTTTAATAACCAAATGCGACCTTCAATTCTTTCGTTTATTGTTGAACTGATTGAACCCAGCAAACTCTTGAAAATTAATTTGTCGGCAAAAGTTATGTATTGATCAAAGGGCAAGATAAAAATGCTAGCAAACACGTCAGATGGAAACGCTCGCAAGATTCGTCGCTCGCCTTCATCCGATCGCTTGCTTCGTCTTCATTCACCTTCCTCTAGGTTGTATGTCGTTGTTCTTCTTCCTTTGTTCGCAAGGTCCGTGGCCGGCTTCATCTTCTCTGGGTTACATGTTGTTCATCTCCCTCTTATTCGCGTGTTTCAGCCTTTAATGACGAGGAACAGTTCGCAGAGGTTAGGGCAGGGACACAAAGTTAGTCGTGGCCGGAATGATTGAGTTCTTTTTCATATACAATTTGATTTAATTAAGGAAAAATATTGTAATTATACTACAACTTTAAACTACACTCAAATCTTAATAGATTCAACTGTAATTTTTTAATTTTGTGAGACTTAGTTTAAATAAATCACTCTAATGGGACGAATATGTAATTTTCTCATAAAAAAATTCCTGAAAGCTAATTTTTTATTTTAATTTCAGTCTGCTATGCACAACGTACCAGCTTATAAATTCGTGCATTGGCCGGAGCCAAAACTCACAGTGAACGCTACTACCCAAGTAATGGCTTCTCTATCCCATCTTCCATGGAAGGTACGATTTTCAGTTTTCTTCCTCTCTTTCCTCCTGAACATCTCTCGCCGCCGCAACGGCAGCGTCAACCGCCGTCTCTTCAACTTCTTCGACCTTAAAGCCGCACCCACTCCCAAACCCCTCGACGGCGTTAAGTCCTCCGACGTTATCGTCGACAACTCCCGCAACCTCTGGTTCCGTCTTTTCACACCCACCATCTCCTCCTCATCCACCTCCCTTCTTCCCGTCGTCATCTACTTCCACGGTGGCGGCTTTTCGTTCTTGTCCGCATCGTCGTCTTGGTACGATGCCGTTTGCCGACGACTCTCCCGTTCGATTCCGTCCATCGTCGTCTCCGTAAATTACCGCCTCTGCCCAGAACACCGTTTTCCGTCACAGTACAACGACGGCTTCGATGTCCTCAAGTTCCTTGATTTGAACGGCGACGTTCTGCCTGAGATAGCTGACATGTCAAGGTGCTTCTTGGCCGGTGATAGCGCGGGGGCCAACTTGGCCCATCATCTGGCAATTCGGGTTTGCCAAGAGGAGCTCCGACAGGTGAAGGTTATCGGGTTGGTTTCCATACAACCATTTTTTGGTGGTGTGGATAGGACCGAATCCGAGATCCGACTCGATGGAGCCCCAATAACATCGGTGTTCAATACTGATTGGGTGTGGGAATTTTTCTTGCCGGCCGGGTCAGATCGGGACCATGAGGCGGTTAACGTGACGGGGAAAAACGGCTTGGACATTTCGGGCATGAATTTTCCGGATACAATTATATTTGTGGGCGGGTTAGACCCGTTACTTGACCGGCAGAGGAAGTACCATGAGTGGCTGAAGAAATCCGGGAAGAAGGTGGAGCTAATCGAGTATCCAAACACGATTCATGCGTTTTACTTTTTTCCAGAATTGCCCCCGTCACCTCATCAAATTTCCCGAGTCAAGGATTTTGTGAACCAGCGATTCAGCAACATGAAATAATTGGGGTATTACCTCCATGAGATTAAAGCAAAGGCACAGTCTTAACTTGCCCATAATATAATATGCAGTACGCGGCGTATAATTTCTCGAAGCCTTTAGCGGTTTTTATTTGATGAAAAGAGGAGATGTAAATTAATGCATCATCGTATCTTACCTAATTCTTCTTCTAGTATGTGTGTGTGAATATAAAGAAAATTATTTATAGAGCACACTCTTATCGAAATATTGTGCTGGCAGAATTTGATTGGTGGACGAGTTCTGATATCTTGTAGTAAAATGCTGCTTCGATTGATAAGACACCAGACGAACTCAATGCTTCCGGAGAAAAATAAAACAATAATTCATTGATCATGTCGTCCACTTGACACTGCGTATTGTCGTTGTGAAATTTTTAGAGACTTCTAAACTAATGAAGAGAATTTCAGAGCTTTTAATAAAGGTTTAATATATTTTAAAATATTCTAGAGGCATCTAGAACAATTTAAAATTATCTAGAGAAATTTAAAAAGATTTAGAAGTTTCTAAAAGGTTCTAGAAACTTATGAAAAAATGTGAAGATATCTAGAATATTCTAGAATGTTCTAGAATATTCCACACATATCTTGAGGAATAGTCTCTAGAAATTTCTTTATAAATATCTAGATATTTGTTGTAGATATTTTTATAGAATATTTTAGAGATAGAATGTACACCGTAAGATCGAATCAATCCCAACCGTCCATTAAGGAGGTAGGAATTTTTTAGAGAAATGAGAAGGCTTATAAATACCCTCACCCCTCATTTGTAAACACAAGCAACTCAAGTATAGTGTAAAAGCTCTCAAAGTTCATTCACTCAAACTTTTTACTCTCTACTTATGCATCTAGCTCTCTTAGTCTCTTTGCCGACTTGTGGGATTCGGCTGACTTAGCAAAGATCAAGAGAGGGATCAAGCTAAAGCCGATACGGTTCAAGGAAAGGGAGTTTCAAGGCCGTGACGCTATGGTCAGAAAGTAAAACAAAGAGGGTCTCATCTTATCGAAAACAGATAGTCTCATTCTACATATCACTATTAACAATAAAGAAATTTACAATGAGAAGAAAATTTGTGGACTTGAGGAATCATGGCGTTCAGGTCCTTCATCCAAATGAAAGTAGGGTCTCTTCACTTTTTTTTTTTTCATTTTCCTCCACTTTCTCCATCTCCACCATTCATTAACTTTTTCATTTAAAAAAATTATTTAATAAAAAAATTTAAATAGTAAGGATGGGAGAAGTGGAGGGAAAGGAAGGGGAAAAAGTGGAGAGACTCCTGGTCCATCCAAAAAGGTCTTTTTAATTCTCTGATTATTTATCTATTTTTTTTAGTGGTTCTAAATTCATATAACTCTCTTCACATATTTTTTTCACAGGTGGACTTGAGTAGCTGTAAGTTTCCTGCATTTTACTGTATTTTTCATTTAAAGTCATGCATGCAAATTAGCTTGATCTGTACCAATATTTGCGGGGACTTATTCGAGACCACAGCAAATGAATAAAAGGTTTATGCAAAAAAAAAAAAACAAAACAAAACAAAAAAACAAAACAAAAATAAAAAATTATTTTTTTCTAGCACTACTGCAAAACTTATAAACATTTTTTAAAGTTTAATGCTGAAATCATGAATACAATAAAGATTAAAGTCTAATTTTATTTTTAAATTTTTTTTTAGAAGTGCTAGACATTATGTACTTTTAAATAGGATAATTTTTTTCTTTAATTAATTTTTAGAGAAGCAAAAATCTCTTTCTAACTGTGAAGTCTCCCATCATGTGATGTTGTGGCAAGACATGGGGTTCTGACTTGGCTTTTAATTTGTGAAGTCTAACCATTTGATCATTTGAACTGGCATCCAAACTAAAAGTTCCAAACCACACGCACATCCGGACGTGAATTCTTCATTTTTCACAAGATAAGAATTCTCATTTTTCTACTAGATTTTATATCATTCTCATTTAAAACAAGATGAATCAGCCACAAACAAAATGAAGAAAGAACAAAGAAAAGGGACCAAATCCAATAAGCAAAATTTCAACAAGATAAATGGTAATCCCTTGAGATTCAGAACAAATCAAATTCAGAATAATTTTCTAAGACTGGCTTCAAGTGATCAACACAGAGCTTGAATTTTCTAGGCAAGGCATTGATTGAACTGAAGGAAGCATCAAATGATTAACAAAATCTTGCAAGAGATGCTAAAAGGGTGAAGGGAAAGGATCACAATTATATGGACCCAGAATTGAATGGGTTCTTCACTCCCAATGATCTGAAAATAGGCAAGAAAATGCCATTCCATTTTGCCTATTAAAATACTCCGGCTTCTACAGAATTTCTTCCCAGAGAAGAATATGAAAAAATCTCTTTCTCATCTAAACATCGAAGAATATGACAAAATCTTCGGACCTAGTCATGGAGCTTTGCTAAGTCACCGTCGGTGGAGATTCAGAAGGCTTGAACTGAGGGATTTGAGAACGTTGTCAAGCTTAAAAACAAAGATCTGGCCATCATCGTTGGTGTCAAAGCGGCTGAAGAATCTCTTGAGCTCATGGCATCAAAATGGAGATTTGGCCGAGACTTGTGAGCGAAAAAGAAAAAGGATGCAGCTAAGAGAGAACAGAGTCCACGTGCGTGAACAGAGTGGTGGAGGGGGAGATTGGGGGACTCAAGGTTGACACTGACAAAGATATGGCTATGGGGGGCTTTTTCACCAAAATGCTGCATACAACAAAAAGAAATTCTTAAAATGCTGCAGCGTGGAGAGTGTTTTTTTGAAGTACTACACCAAAAATAATTTATGAAAGGAATGATTTTGACATTTTAAAGAAGTCGTTCTCGCTGAATCGATTTTAAAGTGAGAAGTTATTTTTTATTATATTAAAAGTAAAATTGTTCAATATCTGAATAATTTCAACTTATTATTATTAATTTGACATTTTATTTTCAGTTATTGCATTCTTTTAACATGTTATCATTTTATAAAAATCTTTAGCATAATATATGTTCATGTGAGAATAAAAAAATTATACACAATGGTTATAAAAAGGTCTAAAAACATGAAGATGCGGTAACAAAGTTGAAGCGAGATGGTGCAAAGCTAGTTTTTTCACTGATATACTATACAATATAAAAAAAATACTAAAATATTACACAAAATGCTACATTTTAAATCGTGTAGGGGGAGAACAATTTTTAAAATTCATCACCGTAAGAATAATTTCTTCAATGTATCAATTCAGTTTCAAGAATGATTTATAAACTTCAACTGCACCTTACAATTATAATAATAATTTAGTAATCATTTGAATGAAAATGTTAAATAATTATTGGTTCTAATATGATTAAGGAATTATTATGAGGTGTATTAAATTAAAAATTATTAATAATAAATAAATAATTATCACGTTGTTCTTGTTGTATCTCATGTGGCCATTGTTCTCAAACATATGAAAAGGAGAATAAGATGTGACATCAAAAGTCACTATTTATTAAGTAAATTAATTTTTACTTTTTTATTCATATAAATTAACAATTCATTATTAATTTTCATAAAATTTAATAATTATTTATAAGTTACTTTTAATATATCTTTTCAATATTAAAGATAACATTAAAAGCCATTAACTCTGTCTTAAAATTTAATAAATTCTTAACTTTACCCTTACTAAATATACACATTTCAATAATATATTTTCTCTCTCTAACATTCAATGAAGGGTAAAAAAAAATTTATAAATAAGTGACTTATAAATAAGAATAAAATTTTTTCTCTCTCTATTCTATAAATAAGATGAAAGGGAGTATCATTTAGTTAGTGCATACAAATATTTTAATTATTTTTTAGCACAAGATTACCAAAAAAAAAAAGTGTTAGGAGACAGAAAAAATCAGATCATATCAAAACCCATAAGATTTATATACCTTGGTGATAGATAAATGAAGATAATAAAATCTAAGTTGTCATAAGATATTTTTTTTTTTAGTGTAAAACAACTTTCAAATGAAGAAAATGAAGGAGTACATCAAAATAAAGTTAACCTCCAACTGGATACTCGAGGACACGGGAAAACTGGGTAAAAAAAATAATAATAAGAAAATTAAGATAATAAAATCTAAGTTGTCATGGGATATCTAATAAGCAAGCAGACAGGCATCTATATGTTTATTTGAATCCATGGTAGAATGTCATGGTCTAACTTTTATAAATATGTTGATTATTGAGTTGAGCTAGTATTTGTTTTCTTTTATACAATATTTTAAAAATTGGATCAATTATCAAACTGAAAATGTCATTGGTTTACAGTTTTTATGGTTTGATCCGTTATGTTGTTGGTCAAACAATAACAGAATAATTAAATAAAAATAATATTATACATATAAAATAAAATATCAAATTTTTAGAGAACTTAAAAATAAATTTAAATATAACTTTTTTTTCCCTTGTTAAATTACTATTAATTAGTATTATGTTTAAGGTATAAAATACTATTTTAAAGCTACAAAATTTGGAAAAGGGTTCTCTTTTCAAGTTCTTGTTCAGAACGTTGGGGAAAGAAACAAATACGCCAAAAGGCCAAACCAAGAGTGTAATCAAAAGAAAACAAATGGATATTTTGTGGTCACTGGAAAATCAAAAGTATCGCTCTTTTATTTTTCGTCTTCTTTGGATCTCCATGTAGTTTCAGTTCGACGTCTCTCTTCTCTTCCATGGTGCCTCTCTCATTTTTAAAAATAAAAACAGCTGTAACAACAATTTTGTTTCTCTTGAATGTAGCTCAGGTTCGATAATATTATCACTGTCTTCTTCTTGCTACTTGCTTAATATTTTGAAAAAATAACAATAAAAATCCCTTTAAATTATTTAAATAATATTTTAATCTTTCAAAATGTCATAATTACCTTAAAGTTTTTAAAAAATTTTCTGTCATTAAGAAATTAATATAAATGATCAAATTGCTTTTAATTCAAACTTACAAGTTGCTGTTAAATTTTTGTAATTTTAAGAAAAAAAGTTATGAATTTTAAAACAAAACTTATAAATGGAATATTTACAACACTCGAGAAATATCATAATTTCAAATGTAAACTTATAAATTAATGTTGCATTCTTGTAATTTTAAGAAAAAAAAAAGTTGTGAATAACAAAACTTGTGAATGATAATTGATATTTAAATTAAAGTAATTTAGTCATTTATATTAATTTTTTTA